GTTTCATCCTTTCTGACCTTCGTCATATTAACCTTGATGAGTCGAGTCCCAAGATCAAGTCCTACCATTGCTCCTTCAATGGAAATGACTTTTCCTTTTGGCCGTGTTCCTCTTCCATCGGAACGGATCTTGGATTTGTCTTCCTGCCAGTAGAATACCTTGTCCTTCACCTGAAGAGGCTTAGAACTCATTCGGAGATTTTGAGCAAGGTCTCGTCGGACGTCTTCGGATTGACGTGCTTCTTGGAATGCTTGCTTGGACAGCTGCTTGATCTGGATGGCTGTCAGCTCTTCTTCATTCCTGTCAATCGTCAACTGAGTTGGTGTTGCGACATCGAGTTGGATGAGATCTGTTGGTCGTCTTCCGAATGCGAGCTCCAATGGTGTTACACCCCTGTAAGTGACAGTCTGATTCCTGACAGTTGCAGCTGCCTTCACCAGCTGTCTGTATGTCACTTTCTTCAGTGTTGCAGGTGCTGTTCCTGCCTTGATGGAACTCAGCATGATCTTGAGTTGTGCCTTCAGGAGTCGAACTGCTGCTTCAGCTCGATTTGGCCATGGTGTGTTCGGTCCCAATGATATCGGTGTGACATCAAGGGATTGATAGAAATATTCCCATGTCTCCGTCATGAAGGCTTGATCTGCGACAACTGATTTGGGCTGCAAATGGTACTGGTCAAAATAGTTCCTGAGGACAGTGATGTTCTCGACTTCTTGCGTAGTTGTCACTGCCTCTGCAGTGAGCAATGTTGTTGCTCCATCCAAGATGACAAAAACAATGATGTGTTCTCCTGTTCCAAGAGGAACTTGACAGTGATCAATGAATGTCATGTCACCAAAGGTGTCCGCTCGAAGTCCACTCGTCTTGCTTCGTGATGGTGCATGTTTTGCCGCTTGGCAAACTTCACATTTACTTCGGATCTTGTCAAATAGATCGAATGTTGATTTCGGCAAATGAAGTGAGCGAGTTCTAAATCGAAATTGATCTGTTGTCATGTGAGGATGCTGGAGGTGGAGCTTCTTCAACTCTTCGGGGTTTGACAATCGCTTGTGGATTCTGCCTAGGGCAAGCGGAAGCGTCGTTGGTTCTTCTGACGATGGTGCGAAAGGATCTGGCTCAATGGTCGACCGGACCGGCCCTTCTTGTCGATGATCCTGTCTGCTGCCGATCCTGAACCTGTCCTTAAGCGAATTGTCCGTGAAGGTGAAAATGGTCTTACCTATCCACAGGTTAATCATTGGTTTGTTTGCCTGGGATGTAAGTCTCCAATTGTCTTCTAGGATGTCTGGATCTCCACCTTCGGATGCATCAATGATTTCTGTAGTACGCTCTCGGCTGATAATTATCAGGATTGATTGGACATTCCTTGGCTGCATTTGGTGTGAACAACGCCTTGCGAGGCGTGATGCGCACACGGATGAGCTGCTTGTTCTTCTTGTCAAGGATCCAATGGTCCTGCTTTTGAGACCCAATGATTTTAGGAGTTGCTAGGTCCTCCTTTGTCTCGGATGATTTTGCTGCACAAACAGTTTCACTCTTGGAGATATCCCCGGAGGGAAACTTGATGCTGTTGTCATCATCGTTAGACGTTTTTAGGTATTGGTGTGGCCTGATGGCAATCTCCATGCGCTTTCACTCTTGCAACTTACCGCAAGGTCGACGATGGGCTGTCTGCGCCTTCCGGATACTGGATACTGCTTGAAGGTTATGCCAAGGGCCTTGCATGTGATCTTGAGGTGTGTGCTCGATGGTATGTAGAGGTCGCATCTAACTTGAGTGATGCTGAGGAGGATCGAACAAGGACGTCGATGTTAGTGATGTTTGGTACTGATGGTGGAGTTGTGTGATTCGGAGATGGCAAGGTTCCAATTTACTTGGTGTTGTCTGCCGTTTTGCAAGGTTGAAACTTTGGTCTCGGCCGGGATGTACTGATAGGAGATGATGTCCTTCATTGGTTCGATGGCCTGAGTAAAACGCTGGATTGCATGCCAGCTGCCCATGGATCTGGTACATCCGTTGTCCAGGATCGCATAGGTCGGATTGTGCTGAGGGTTGATGACAGGCGCCATCAGCTTTGTTGCCAAAAGGCTGTGATCTGTTGTTACGGACAAATTGTGTTCTGAAACTGAATCTGATTGGATCAGCTTCCCGTGGATGGCTTCTTTCTCATGATGCTCATATGCGTCATGGAATGCCATTAGCGCTTGTCCTGCGCTGGATGTATTGATCCCAATCTTGGTCTGTCCAACCGGCATAGGCAGGCTCTTGGAGTTCAGCAACTTGCTGCGTGGCAGGATGCTCCTCCGTCTTCTCTGAGATGGCTGCGAACGTCTTGGATTTTCCTTTGTCATGTCCGCCTTTTCCTTTGCCATTCTCATAGGATGGATAACCCTTGTTTCCATCATAGGGATATTGGAATTTGGATTTTCCTTTCTTTCCCTTCTTTCCTCTGCCTTTTCCCCAATATGCCTGGTCGTAGGGATCATGGTAATGCGTCTTCAGCATCTCATAGGAGTAGTTCTCGAGTGAAATGTTTCTCAATGACATGGCACTGGTCAGTCTTTCTCTCTTCTGATCTGACAATTCACTCTGAACTGCGCAATGAGATTATCCCCGAAGGGAAATGCGTCCCGCTGTCTGTCCTGCATACCCATGATATACTGTCTGAGGACTGTCGGATCATCCTCATGTAACAGGACTGGAGGCGGTGCTCAAGCACCCTGCTTGCTGATGTCGAGCAATTGTTCTGTTGTTTGCTTCCTGTACGGACTGTCGAGATGATGGGGATTGTGCCGTGAATCCATCCATGCTGCCTTCAATCTCATTTTCGAATTTTGAGGTAAAAATGAGGAACTCTTGGTTCTGCCTTCTGTGATTGAAGAAACTGAGGAGCCTGTACAGATACACGTTGGTCGCACCTTTCAGGAAGTACTTCTTCAGCGTGTTCTTGAAATAGTTGACTCCTTCATCAGGATCTTGCAAAAGGTCATTTTGGAGGACTGCCTTGTACATGTAAGCATCTCCTGTGAGTCTGCTTTTGAGCAAAAGGTCCTCTCTTGGGTGCTTCCACCGTGGTGATTGTCACCCAGTCGTCCACGAGTTCTTCATACCTGAACCAGCTGACTTTTCCGTCGTACGACGGCGGCTGCTTGGCGGTCATCGATAAAATGGGGGTTTCCTCCGTATAGCCGGATGATTTGGCCATACCTGAATAGGCCTCCATGAAGGCCTTGTCCATCGGATGACATTTTTCCTTGGATCTCTGCGGAAAACCTGCTCCGCTACCCACTGCCAGGTACCTATCCCAGAAGGGAACTGGTACCCTGTGGTAGTAGAGGTCGTTTCTGCGGTCCCTGGATCTATTCCGGTGTCCAATATGCCAATATGGATGATTGGAGGATGGATTGTCCTTGGTGGATTGACTTGTTGTATAATCCTGTAAGCGGCCTGCAAAGGTTCCTTTGTCACGCAATCATGAGTATTGCTATGGTACAGAAGGGCCTTCAGCCAAATGGTTGCAGGCGATCAACATTGGTCAAAAACAGAAAATTGGGGGGGGGGGGGGGG